TGAGGCTTTTGATTCAGTTCCCTCTAATAAACACATACAGCCAATATTACAATCTAAAGGTAAAATAAGATCCATGAAGCAATAAAGCTATTGATAAATAACTAGGATCAGAGCCAAATTTCCCATGCAAAAGAAAATAATACTTCAAGGGGAGAAAACTCAAACTCTCCACTTTTTTTTTTTTTTTTTTTTGGTTTTTCGCTGGGCGGTGGTGGCGCACGCCTTTAATCCCAGCACTTGGGAGGCAGAGGCAGGCAGATTTCTGAGTTCGAGGCCAGCCTGGTCTACAGAGTGAGTTCCAGGACAGCCAGGACTATACAGAGAAACCCTGTTTCGAAAAAAAAACAAAGCTGACAGGGCAAAGCAAGTCATAGCGACTCAATGATTGGCAAGCCCAGCCGCTGACAACTAGTCTAATGATTTTTAAAATGTTGAAAATTGTGTGCATGCACACACACAGGCACACACAGGTATACCCATGCACACCTGAGTGCAGATGCTTATGGAGACCAGAGATGTATCCCCATGAAACTGGAGTTACATAGGTGGCTGTGAGTTGTATGACAAGTGCTGGGAGCCAAACTCTGATCTTAACCACTGAGCCAACTCTCCAGCCCTCACAGCTGCTACTCCTAGTGCTATATGAGTACTTGTCACAAAAGGGGGAGGGGCCTGAGGATGACTAGAGTTAAAGAGATTGCCTGCTTCTACAGAGGACAGATTCAATGTCCATCACCCATGTGTCGGCTCACAACCATCTTTAATCCGTTTCCGGGGATCTGAGAACCCATTTTACAGCATCCACAAGCACTGTATGTGGTGTACACACATACACACAAGCAAAATACCCTTAAACATAAAACAGTCTTTATGAAGGCTTATGATATTTAGCTTTGAAAACCAGGCCTGTTCTTTAGTAATCATGCCAGTTTTAAAGTCCTACAAAAAGACATGCTGCATTCTATGAATAAACACAAAGAAAAGAGATACTTGAGCAGTTATGAGGGTGTCTTAGTTTACTGTTACTGTGATCAAACACCATGACCAAAAGCAAATTGGCAGGGAAAGGGTATATTCAGTTTACACTTCCTCAGCACTATTCATAACTGAAGTCAAGACAGGAGCTCAAAACAGGGCAGGAACCTGGAGGTAGGAGCAGATTCGGAAGCCATGGAGGGATGCTGCTTGCTTGCTTGCTTGCTTGCTTGCTTGCTTGCTTGCTTGCTTGGCTTGCTCAGTCTGCTTTCTTATAGAACCCAAGATCACCAGCCCCGGGTGACAACACCCACAATTGGCTAGATCTTCACTAAGAAAATGTTCCACAGACTTGCCTACAGACTGATCTTATTATGGAGGGAATTTCTCAGTTGGGGGTTTCCTTATCTAAGATGACTCTAGCTTGTATCAAGTTGACAAAATTTGCCAGCACAAGTTGATAATTTTTATCAACTTGACACACAAGCACATCATTCCATAATTCCCTTTCTTGTTCATCCCTAAGTTCATAGATTAATAAATATTGAACAATAAAACTTTATAAATTTAAAAGGCCCACAGTCTTTAAAATTCAAGCACTTTCAAATTCAGTCTCTTTAAAACTCAAAAATCTGACCTCTTCCTGCATTCTCACGGTTGTTTCTGTTTGTGAGACCTGTGGCTCTACCCTGCTGATAGCAAGATGTCTTCAGGAAATGCAAAAATTGGTTAACCTGCTCCCAACTTCAAAGCTACAGCTGTTATGTCAGATGGACAATTCAAAGATATCAGCCTAAGTGATGACAGAGGAAAATACATTGTGTTCTTTTTTTACCTTCTTTACTTTTGTGTCCCCCAAGGAGATCATTGCTTTCAGTGATAGAGCAGAAGTGTTTAAGAAACTCAACTGCCAAGTGATTGGAGCTTCTGTGGATTCTCACTTCTGTCATCTGGCATGGATTAACACACCCAAGAAACAAGGAGAACTGGGACCCATGAACATTCCCTTAATATCAGATCCCAAGCGCACCATTGCTCAGGATTATGGAGTTCTAAAGGCTGATGGAGGTATCTCTTCCAGGGGCCTCTTTATTATTGATGATAAAGGTACTCTTCACCAGGTAAAAATAAACGATCTTCCTGTTGGCTGCTCTGTGGATGAGGTTCTGAGACTAGTCCAGGCTCCAGTTCACTGACAAACATGGTGAAGTGTGCCCAGCTGGCTGGAAACCTGGCAGTGATACCATCAAGCCTGATGTTCATAAGAGCAAAGAGTATTTCTCTAAGCAGAAGTGAGCACTGGACCATTTTTCTGCCAGGCAGCATTGAGCAGCCAGGAGAAAATCTCTTGTACTGTACTCATCCTTAAACACATGTGGTGTGATTCCAGATAAGCCCTTTCTACAGGGCTGGGTGTGGTTAGCCTTTCTTCCGATATTGGTAATGGTTTGAACTGTGTTTTGGGCAGACCATCTTATATCAGTCACAGAAACCAACCTGTTAATTTTTTTCTTTTCTTTTTCTTTTTTTTAAAGTATCTGTTAATCGTGAATTCTGAGGAAAAAAACTCAAAAATCTCTCTAAAAGTTCAAAGTCTCTCAAATATGGGCTTCTGTAAAATCAAGACAACTTATTTCAAGAGGGAATGACTAATGCAAAGTCCAGCAGTGGCAGCACCCACATCACTTACTAAGACAATGTACTGGGCCTGCCTGTCCACAGCCTCATCTGATGGAGGCATTTTCTCAATTGACATTCCCTCAGATGACCCTAGAGCAGTGGCTCTCAACCTTCCTAGTGCTGCAACCCTAGTTCATGTGATGACCCCACAGCCATAAAAAATATTTCCGTTACTACTTCATAACTGCAATTTGCTACTGTTATGTTTTCCGATGGTCTCGGGTGACCCCTGGGAAAAGGTTTTTCTACCCCAAAGGAGTCTCAAACCACACATTGAGAACTGCTGCTCTAGCGTCTGTCAAATTGACATAAAGCTAGCCAGCACACAGAGGGCACTGCTCTGGCGGGGGCCAGGGGGAAGAGTCCGATTCCCAGCATCTGTGCCCAGCACCTCACAGCCATCCATTGCTCAACTCCTGGGAAACAGAATAGTAAACATTTTCTCAAGTAAAGCCAAGTCCTTGTCATAGCTAAGATTTTTATATTTAATTATAATAAAACTCAGATTATTTTCCTTTCTTCCTTTTACATTTCCTCCCAACCATGGCCTCCTTTAAAAAAAACATTTTTTTTAATGTGCTTTCACACGCATCACATGCATGAGGAAGTGCTGGCAGGTGGCCAGAAGAGGGCCTTCAATTCCCCAGAGCTAGAGTTAGAGCCAGTTGTGACCCATGTCGGAGCTGGGAACCGAACCCACGTGCTCAGACCAGCTGACCCTTCTCTGAATCCCAGGCCAGCTTTTGAACCATTGTTGCTACACACAGGCACAGATAAATAAGCAGAATACAACCTGACAAGTCACTCGTTTGCATGTGTCTTAGGGCCAACCATTTGGTTGGATAGCCAATTGGTCTCATCCCAAAGTGAAGTTCTAATCTGGTAGACAAAAGGACTTGAGTGGCTAGAGAAAGGGTTCAGCACCTGAGTACTAGCTGCTCTTACAGACGCCTGGGTTCTGATCCCAGCATCAGGTGGCTCACATTTCCTGCAACATTAGCTCCAGAGGATCCATTGCCCTCTTGTTTCTTCAGATACATGCATGCATGTATGTGGTACCTGTACAGGCAAGCAAGCACACATACACATACAAATTCATGAAAAAGGCACCCAGCAGAGTGGTGATGAAGCACGCCTTTAGGCCCAGCACTTGTGAGCTGAGGTAGTTGGATCTTTGTGAGGAGACTTCACCAGTTTTAACTATATTTTATGCATCCAATGAAGAAAGTAATGGTATGTTCACTAGATGTAAGTGGCTGAACATTGTCAAGACTCTGAGGGCCTTGAGAGTAGTAGTAACAGGCTGAGCGGCTGAACAACCATTGACTCAATGGGGGCACCTCTAGAAGAACCCAGGAGTCTTCACAGTCGTTTCCTGCGGAGTCCTGCTCTATCAGTATGTCACCTTGCACTTGGTTTCTTAGGTTTTCTTTGTCTATTTCCAGTGTCTGTCTCAAATTCTCCATGGAATTAAGGAAATCGCTTGCATGTGTAAATCAGGAACAGCACACACATTCCCACCATGGATGTCAAGAGGAAGCGACTATTCTCTAGCATTAGTGGTCAGCAGTTAAGGCACCCTGAACACAGACTCACTGGACAGAGTCCTGATCGCGGCGCAGCACGACAGTGGTAGTTTGCTGACCAAACCACCTTCCTCTGCCTACTAGGCACTGACCACTCCCCAGCCCTACCTTACTTCCAAAGTTCCATCTGTTTTTCTGCTGATATGACTTTTTTAAGCTTTATTATTAGTGTCATGTTTCACCTGCATGTACGCCTGTGCACCATGTGTGCCTGGAGTCAGGGAGTGCAGGTGGTGTCAGATCCTGAAACTGGAGTTACAGCCACTGTGTGAGTGCTGGAAACTGAACCATAGGCCGGGCGGTGGTGGCGCACGCCTTTAATCCCAGCACTTGGGAGGCAGAGGCAGGTGGATCTCTGAGTTCGAGGCCAGCCTGGTCTACAGAGAGAGTTCCAGGACAGCCAGGGCTACACAGGGAAACCCTGTCTCGAAAAAAAAACAAAAAAAAAAACAAAAAAAAACTGAACCATAAACCTCAGGAGAGGCAGCAAGTGCCCGTCCACGGAGCCATTTTATATTTAGTAAAGAGGATACACAGACTTGGGGACTAGTGAAGCAATGCGAATGTTAGCATTGTAATGGAAGAGAACACTCAGAATCACGAGTAGTTCCTGTTTTGTGAGCACTTCAGTTCTGTTGCAATGAGTTGTCACATGTAAACTTGAGATCTACTCAATTAATGGTTCCTCCAATGAAATTTCATCCTCTGCAGACTATAGCTCTAGAAAGACACAGAAAAGATTTATAAAAGGCAGAAATGTTAGCTGACCCTGGTGGTGCCTGCCTTTAATCCAGCACTGGGGGGCTAGGAGATTTCTGTTTCTGAGGTCAGCCAAGGCTATTTAGGGAGACCCTGTCTCAAAAAAAAAAAGGGGGGGGGAGATGCCTTTGGCATTAATCTTTCTAACCTTGAGACTGGTGTTACAGGTTTCCAAAATTTTATTGAACTTTTTTATGATGTGGAAACACTTGCAATGGGAATGCTATGATCAATGCTGTGAACACACATCTGTTAAACAGTTGCAGGTGGAGATTTTATAACTGCAGACCCTTCTGCAAGTTCCAGAGTATGTCCGCACTCTTCTTGAGAAGACTCTCCTCATCGGGGTTCAAGTTAGCTTTCACAATGTCTGTGATGCCACTTTGTCCCAAGACACAAGGGATACTGAGGAAGACTTCTTCATTTATCCCAAAGTAGCCCTGAAACACACAATCATATCATTGCTTCCCTTGCCACCATGCAAGAAAGCTCTAGAATAAAAACGTGTGAGAGAGACTATGGCACCAAGAAGAGCTTTGCAGAAGACATAGTAATCTTTGGGAGAACTGAGATCTTTGTCCTGGACCATGTGGATGGCTAATGACCAGGAGAATGTGCCAGAGGCCTTAAAAAGGACCAGGGAAAGGCAAAATGTCCTTCATCCTTCAATAGACCACCTTGATGTCTAAGGGGAAGGAGGTGATGCCGTCTTTGTGTGACTTTTCATCTGGTGAAGGACTAAGAGCAAGCAGCCTCTGGACACATTGAAGGATGGTAGGTTGTGACCAGGGAGCCTCTACTTTTATACCCTCGACAAAGGGCACCACAGAGCTTGAATACCAGTTGCTACAGATGGTTTCTCAAGCCTCCACGGGTGAAATCCCAGAGGAGGAGCTCAGGGATACTCTAACACACCCAGCAGAGTATGTGAAAATATGACCTTGGGATATATTCCTGCCCTTTTGTACTCCTAAACTGCCACCTTTCCTGGAGTTCCACCCTAGGACTAACAGACTGACAGAGACATGGGAGATATGCTCATCTTAGGAGGGTGTATCCTGTCACTATGCTGGTTAAGGCATTCAGCTGTGGACAGAGAAAAGATGTGAGGCTCTAACAACAACTGCAGCTGGGACTGGGGCCTGTCAACAGCTCACAGGCAGATGCTGGAAGTTGTGGGAGGGGACATGGCCTGCAAAGAAAAAAACGAGGCAGGTGGCTAACAATGTGGCTCATTATTTCCTCTGATCATGGTGGGTCTCAGAATCTCAGGGTTGTTTTGATTTGCATTTCCCTGATGACTAAGGATGTTGAACATTTCTTTAGTTGCTTCATGTGGCCATTTGATATTGCTCAGTTGAAAACTCTTTGTTGAGCTCTGTAACCCATTTTTAATAGGACTACTTGATTGTCTGGAGTCTTAATTTCTTGAGTTCCCAACATTCTTACAACTCCCATAACCAAAGCCATGCCTACAGAAACAGCTGTGAGACACTCAGAGTCTGGGCAACCTATACATCTACTGGCATAAGGCAGCATCTGCTGTCCCATACTACCCACACCATCACCACTGCTGTGATAAAAAACACCCAGTGAGCTCTGCCCATCTCCCTGCCCCGTCCCACAAATCCTTATGTGGCTGAGGCTGGACTGTGAATGGCAATGGAAGAGCTTTGACTGTAGACACATCAGGTATGAGCACAGAGGGTCTTGACAGTACATTCCAACCCCTCATACATACCCCGAGTTTCATGCTCCCTGGAGCTTTCCTGGAAGCACATCCTTTTCCTATACTTGCTTCTGCAGGGAACTCAGTCAACTGCCTCATTCTGAAATTACTTTACACTCACCCTCACTGGTAGCCAGGCATGATAAACATTTCCTCAATGCGTACCTTAACCAGTGTGGTGACAGGATGCACCCTCTTAAGATTCTTCAAGATTGATCTCGACAGATCAGTCACAGACAGCCCAATAGCCCAAGAGGTATAGCCCTTCAGGTTAAGGACCTCATAGCCGCTGCAGTTGCAAAGGAAAAAGAAAAAAAAAAAAAAACAAATTCATGAGATGTCAACCCAGGTCTTTTGGAAGAGCAGCTAGTGTACTTAACCACTGACTCACTTGCAAAATTTATTTTTGTTTTCCAAGACAGGGTTTTTCTGTGTAGCCATAGCTGTCCTGGAACTCGCTCTGTAGACCAAACTGGCCTTAAACTCAAGGAGATTCACCTGCCTCTGCTTCCCAAGTGCTGGGGTTAAACATATGAGCTCCCACCACTGCCTTGCTTAAGGTGTAAATTTTTTTATGCTTATGAATACACTGTTGCTGTCTTCAGACACACCAGAAGAGAGTAACAGATCCCATTACAGATAGTTGTAAGCCACCATGTAGTTGCTGGGAATTGAACTCAGGACCTCTGGAAGAGCAGTCAGTGTTCTTAACCACTGAACCATTTCTCCAGCCTCTAAGGTATATTCGTAATACTGATTATTAGGGTATTAAAAATGCATAACTACTATTACCCTTCCACCACCTGCTTGTGAATGTTTTTCCACTGTTCCTTATCTGAGTCAGTTCCTATTGCTGGGTTCAGTGACTTCAGAGTTACACCAGCAATGTTCACACCACTCCATATGGGCACTAAAAAAGAAAAAAAAAAACAATAAAACTCTCCACATGAGCTCCTCTTGCCCAAACTGAGTTGGGAGTGGGGCAGAGGTGGAAGACTCTGTTCTGTTCTGTTTCTGTTCTTTTGAGAAAGGCCTCAGCTATCTTCAAATTCATGTCTTCCTGTCCTTGCCCCAAGTGCTGGATGACAAGTTTGTATCACACACTTAGCTAGTGGTTAGTTTGTTGACAGGTTTAGTTTTTAAGATGGTATCATGTAACTCTGGCTGGCCTCAACTCAGTGTATAGCCAAAGATGGCCTCAAATTTCTGATCCTTCTGCCTCCACTCCCACCTCCACCCCCAAATCGTCAGATGTCAGACATACGTCATCACCACTCCTGTTTTTGGTTGGTTGAGAGGATTGAACTTGCTATGTACCTGAGGATGTCTGTGAACTCCTGATCCTCCTGCCTCTGCATCCTAAGTGCTGACATTACAAGTGTTCACTACCACACGTGGATGGAGTTTTGGTTTGGATTTAAATGTTAAGATGCTATCTGACAGAATATATAAGAACAGGGTATTAAGGCTATTTTTGTTTTTTGAGATTTTATTATTTTTGGTTTTTTGTGCTTTTCACTTAAGAACACATGTGTGTCTCTATGATGGTTTGGGCCCTGAAGAGAGTGTTGGATCCTCTGAAGTCACAGATGGCAATGAACCATCTTGGCTGTTGAGCCATCTCTCCAGCCCCCAAAGTAGGTTTTAAATGGACAGAAAGGGAAATAAGACTTATTAGAAGACACATAATTGAATTATTTATAACTATGGTACAGAAAGCATTTTAAAGCAATATACAAAAACACAGATTCTACACAGAAAAGGATTGCTAAGAAACATGTTATCTGGAACTTTAAAACAATATCTTCATAAAATAAAAAAGGGGAGGTATATATCTGAACACCACAAATTTATTTAAATCATACTCTTTTTATTTTAAATTAAAAAAATTTTTTTTGATGCCAAGGAACTTTCTGCTGAGTGTCTATGGCACCCTTTAACTAGGCATACTTATGCCTAGGTGAAAAGGAAGGATCTACTTACAGACATATGGCATGATATGGGGAAGAGGGCATGTTTGTGTTTTTTCTGCAGGATGCTGAAGGAGCATGGTGGCTGCCAGAGCAATGGGTGAGACATGCTGATGCTGAGACAAAGAATGATGCTGACCTGTGAGCTTGCTGAGTGCCCTGACAATGGTGACTGGGAAGCTGTATTGGACATATGTTCCTGACCCTCCTTTGCTTGCCTATATCACAGATATACTGCCTTGCCTCAAGTTTTTAGACCTTGTGGGACAGAGAATCAAAAAGAGAAATTATAATATTATTATTGTCCTGGGAATACTTTTATTCCTGCCCATCGTGTAAAGCTTGTCTGTAACTACATCAACAGGTTGGCAGCCAAAGTACATGACTTGAAACTGAAAATGTACCCCCAGACAGCATTTTTAATTTAACAGACTGGCAAGCCAAGGACGGGTAAGATTCTGCACAGTGCCTTACCGACCTAAGACAGAACTGCATTGCTTTTGATAATGCATATTCCACAACAAGTAAGAAAGGCATTCTTGTCAGAACGATATAAGACAGGTTCAGTCTGGTTTATGCAATAAAAAGGGAGAGATGTGGAGAGCTTTTGGGGCTGCCTGGCAGGAATCTGACATAAGGCAAGGACAAGGAAATGGACTGCAGGCAGGAATCTGACATTGGGCTGGAACAAGAAATTTCAGGCAGGAATCTAAATCTTAGGCTAGAACAAGGAAGTAATTACAGGCAGGAATCTAAATCTTAAGCTAGAACAAAGATGTAGGCTTCAGGCATGACTTTGGGCCAGGACAGGGAAGTAGCCTCAGATATTTTGGTCATCCTGATAAGCCTTTAGAAATAGTGATCATGGGACTCTGTTTATTGTCATGTGTACTCTTTGTCTATCTGGGTTTATTTTATTGTCTTGCTTGTTCCTTAACTATTTGCATCTGTTGCATTGCTAGTTCCTCAACCTAGAACTGACCTTAATACTTGCATGTAATTTAAATGGTATAAAAGCAAAAGAGGAGGAGGGATGGGATAGGGGATTAATGGGGGGATGGGGAAAGGGGATAACATCTGAAATGTAAATAAATATCAAGTTAAAAGTTAAAAAAAAAGAAAAAAACATACTATCAGAGGAGAAAGAGTTACACATTAACACCACACTTCCCCACAGCAACAGAGCAATACGTAGTCACATAAACTCTAGTATCAACTGTCCCTGAGGACTGGGATGAAATCCAAATACCTTCATAGAAACAAGGGTACAGATACAGGCATTCCCAAGCAAGCAGTCTATGCAGATTATCGGGCATTGGGAGAGCACCAGGTTCAGTGAGAGACCCTGACTCAAAATATAAGGTGGAAAGTGATGGGAAAAGATGCTGGGAGATATGAGGAGAGATGAAGAGATGGCTCAGTGGTTAAGAGCACTGGCTGCTCTTCCAGAGGACCTGGGTTCAATTCCCAGCACTCAAATGGCAGCTCACAATAGCCTGTGAATCCAGTGGAAAACAATATGGTGGTGCCTCAGAAAGTAAAACTGGGATTGCCATATGACCCAGCATCCCATTCCTGGGCATGTAATATAGCCAAACAAATGAGGTCAGGATATTGAGGACAGCAGCTCCCTAACCGTGTTTACTGCAGCACTATGCATCTGCATGACTTACAATCAGCCACAGGTCCATTAAAGACAGATGGAAAAAAGGTGGGGTGTGTCTGTGTCTGTGTGGTACAACACTGTTCAGCCTCAAGAACTGTCACTTGTGACAACATGAATACAACAGGAGGTTATGTTTAGCAATAAAAGCCACACACAGAAAGTCAATTGTGGAGTGATGTCATTTACATATGAAATCTAAAAATAAATAAATAAAACCCAACCATGAGAAAGTAGAGAATAAAAATAAAGGTTATGATACTGCAGAAGGGAGGAGAAAATGGGGCCAAGGGGCAGCAGCACACACTTCTGAGTGAAGAGAAGCAAGTACTAGCATTCTGGTGCACAGTAAGGACACTGTCCTAAGCAATTATGTGCTTTTAGGGGACAGATTTCAGCAGATAAAATACTTGAGAAGGAGAGCCAGAAGGAGAAAACTTCAATGTCATTCTCAGGAATAGAGCAAGGTTCAGCCTGGCCCAAGTCTCAGGAGTCCTTGTTCTTTGTGGTCAAGTATGGTCTCTGGCTGGAGGGTTGGCTTGGTGGTTTATAACAGATATTGGCCTTCCCAGCACCTCAGGCAGCTCACAACTACCTGGAGCTGCAGTTCCGGGAGGATACAGCACCTCTGGCCTCTGCAGGCATCAAGTACACATACCCACGTAGAAACACCAGAGTTCACATAATTTAAAATAAGGAATTTTAAAGTATTGCCTACCTCAGACTGGCCAGGCTTCACTATTCTTACCACAGAGAAATGATGGGTTTGTGAGACGACCACAAAGCTGGTGACACTGACTTGATCACTATGTCACATGCAAATGCATCAAGTCACCTCAGTGTCCACTCCATGTATGCATAGTTATGCATCAAGACATTTTATCCTTGTTTCAGACAGGATGTTGTTTTATAGCTCAGGCTCGTCTAAAAAGACACGTACCCACGAAAGTGACAAAATGAAAGCTATGTAGCTCTATTGGCAGAGACAATGTCGTGAAGAAGAGCATTGCTACACACCAGAAGGGTACCATGCTCACACAGTAACTGGGTCACACTTACCACTGGAGTCCCCATGTTCTCCGAGAACCCAGCCATGGCAGCTTGTAGGATTGACACCCAGCTTCTCCCCGATCAGGTAACGGAACCGAGCGGAGTCTAGGTTACAGCCACTTCCAATCACACGGTTTACAGGAAAGCCGCTCACCTTCCAAACCACGTATGTCAAAATATCCACTAGGAAGAAGAGTGTTAATGTTTGAGAAAGATCTGTAGCAGTTTCTCTACAGTTGCTTTTCCAAATAGAGAAATTATCTTGGGAGTCAAATGCAGATTTATCATAGTTCAAAGTCCAGTGAATCTAAACGGTGGGCATACTCAAGGTTTTTACGTTAAATCATTGACCAGCAGAATACATCTTATTAAAACATCTTCTGAGATACTCGATGGGCTTTTCTGCAAATACAGTAATGGGTCGGTTCTACCTCTTTAACCTTCTGGATTTCTCCTTTCCATTGACACGTCCTCACCTAAGCTATCAACTTATTACCTAGAATTACATGTGGACATAGCCAGGGTGGTCTGCACATGTGTGGGCAATACAGAAGATCACAACAACTTTCATAGTGAAGCTCTGTGCAAGCAGGAAGTGATGACTGGGCCACAGCCATAAGCTGCTGAGCTGGATACTGAAGACATACCATGCCCAGGGAAGGGGAGAGGGAAGCAGGAAAGATTGGGAGATCATTTTAGGTTTTAGATATTTGAAGAAAATTCTGTCAAGTCATTAACTGACCAAATAAATGCGTTGAAAATGCCTGTGCCTTATAAAACAGATAATGAAATTCAGGAACCTCAAGAAGCAACAGCAGACCTTGGAGCTGAGGAGGATTTGATTTGCAAATGCTCTTGAGGAGGCTGAGGGCTGGCTTAGCAGTTAAGAGTGCCAGTTGTTTTATGACTTACAACCATCTGTAATTCCAGGCCCAAGGGATTCAGCACCCCTCTCTTGACAGAGGTTCCAGCCATGCATGTGACACACAGACATACATGCACACAAAATACCCATACATATTTAAAAATAATGATAAAACTAAGAAGAATTAACAGAGTTAGGAAGTGTGTGACAATAGCCAGGGTGTCAACACATAATATTTGGCCAGATTTATCTTAAAAAATGAAGACACTGGAGCTAAACTTTTGAAAGGACAACAATAGGTTGGTAAGGACGCCAGGGATACAGTGCTGATGGGAATGTCAAAGGCATTGCAGAGGACTTTGAAAATCTGTGTGCAGCTTCTAATAGAGCCAAACACTTCAGAGTCTGTAAGCCCACATGTGCTCTCCTGCCCATCACTGACACCAAACAAAAGAAGATGTATGCTCACACACAGGCTTGCACATGATGGGCTTCAAGCTGGCTCAGTGGTTAAGAGCATGTGCTGATCTTGTAGAGGACCCCAGTTTGGTTCCAAGCACCTATATGATGGCTCACAACTGTCTGTAACTGAAGTTTCAGAGGACTGTATACCCCTTCTGACCTCCATGGGTACCAGCCAAGCATGTGGTATACATGCATACATATAGGCAAAACATTCATACACATAAAATAAACCAACTTTTAAACAGGAAAAATTATAGCCAGGCAGTGGTGGCGCACACCTTTTAATCCCAGCACTTGGGAGGCAGAGGCAGGTGGATTTCTGAGTTTGAGGCCAGCCTGGTCTACAGAGTGAGTTCCAGGACAGCCAGGGCTACACAGAGAAACCCTGTCTTGTAAAACCAAAAAAAAAAAAAAAAAAGGAAAAAAATCATATTTGAAATGTATAAGGACTGCAAAGATGGCTCAGTGGGTAGAACTAGATGGTCTTAGGTGGTTGAAGTCACCATGTGGGCACTGGGAATCAAACCTACGTCTTCTGGAAGACCAGCCAGTGGTCTGAACTGCTGAGCCACATCTCCAGCTCTCCACAAAATAGCAAGCATGAGGACCTAAGGGCATATCCCTAGTAGCCATGTAAAAAGCAAGACATGGTAGGTACATCTACAACCCTAGGTCTGATAAGGGTCAGGGTGCGAAGAGTCAGATTGACCTAAGAACTTAATGGTCAGCAGTCTAGCCAAAATACCAAGCTCCAGGTTCAGTGGGAGATGCTGGAGAGCAAGGAGGAAGACACCAACCTCTGTGCACGCAGGACACATACATGCTCATCACACCACACACATGCAGAAACAACAGGAGAGTCCAGCAATGCAACGGAGCACACCCCAGATGTATCCCAGACACAGATGAATCCAAAATAATCGCACTATAAATGGGGCTGGGTAGAAAAGTTTGTCTCACTGCTGGTTTTGGTCTGCTTTTGTTTATGAAGTTCCAGAAAAATGAGTCAAGTGGTAGGATGATGAAATACAAATGAGCACACAGCACTTCAGAGGTGACAGAGATTTCAGATCTTACTGTCATGACATCTATCAGATTTTATGGCATGGCAGACTTCGAAGCTATACAACCTTAGTGAGGTTTATAATGAAATACTATGAACAAATCATCATACAGAAAGGGGAGGGGGGCCGGGCCGTGGTGGCGCACGCCTTTAACCCTAGCACTTGGGAGGCAGAGGCAGGCGGAATTCTGAGTTCGAAGCCAGCCTGGTCTACAGAGTGAGTTCCAGGACAGCCAGAGCTGCACAGAGAAACCCTGTCTCGAAAAAGAAAAAAGAAAGAAAGAAAGAAAGAAAGAAAGAAAGAAAGGAAGGAAGGAAGGAAGGAAGGAAGGAAGGAAGGAAGGAAGGAAGGAAGGAAAGGAAGGAAAGGAAGGAAAGGAAGGAAGGAAAGAAGGGGAGGGGGATCTCACCTGGGTTTGTCACAATGATTATTTTACAATCCGGACTGTGTTGGACTACGCCGGGAACAATGGCTTTCATGATAGCGACATTACGTTGGAGCAGCTCAAGGCGAGTTTCTCCAGGCACCATTCTTGCACCAGCTGTGATAATAACCAGTTTGGAGTTGGCAGATACATTGTAGTCTAAGAAGGAAATAGAAGACAGTGTTTCCATTAGGCTCTGTAAGCGTCTATCCCATGCTCTTAGGTTTGAAGTATTCACCTATCCTGGATTTGGAAACAGACTCCTCACGCTGTAGCATCTTACAGAAGTCAAGCAAGGCTTGTTGCCACTTTCCAGCTTTCACATGGCTGCCTCTTACTCTGCCATTCCCTTCAACCCACATTTCTATCTGTCAGAAAGATCCAAGGCAAGAAATTCAGTAGCTCTCTGGCTTCTGTTGTTTCTCATTTTGGCGTTGCTGGAAAGTGACCCCATGGCAGACCCACCATGGAACTACATCCCCAACACTCTGGCTTTCCAGAACACCCAAACGAATTAGAAGCTTACATCCGATCATTTCCATGTCTATTTTAGGAATCTAATGGCAAGAATAGATTTACCTCTAATTATTATAAAGAACCATGCTTTATTTGATATTACAAATAAATTAGATCTTAATCCATACAAGAAAATAAACTACTTATATTTACTAAGTGTAATTACCAGTCTGGAAATTATTTTACTTACCTCACTTTTAAAACAAAGCCACAACAACATAAACAGAAACCCAGGGCTGCAGAGACGGCTCAGCAGTTAATAGCATTGTCTGCTCTTCTACAGCTCAGCTTCCAGCAACTACACGGTGGCTCACAACCATCTATACTGAGATCTCACGCCCTCTTCTGGCATGCAGACAGAGAACTCATATAAATAAACCCTCCCCACCCTCCTACCCCCGCAAAAAAGAAAAATCTCATACATACAACAAAGAAACAAGCAAAACCACTTACTGCTCTTCCAAAGGATCCAAGTTCAGTTACCAGCACCCACATCTGGTGGCTCCCCTAACTTCAGATCCAGGGGATCCCATGCCTTTGGTCTCTGCAGTTATGTGCACATAACAACATGCAGACACATATACACACATCATTTTTAGGAATAATAAAAACTGACTGGGTTTGGTGGTACACATTTAGTCCCAGCACTTGGGAAGCAGGGGCAGGCAGCTCTCTGTAGAGTTCGAGGCCAGCCTGGTTTCCATAGTGAGTTCCAGGACACCCAAGACTACATAGAAGTACCCTCAGAAAAATAGTACTAGTAGTAATAATAAAGACAGACAGATAGATAGATAGATAGATAGATAGATAGATAGATAGATAGATAGATAGATAGAGATAGACAAATCAGCAAATTCATAAGAACATTTACATGTTTTGGGACAATATGAAATGCTTATGGTACCTCTTTTTTGTTTGTCTTTTAGAATTATTTACTTGATGTATGAATACACTGTCCCTGTCTTCAGACACACTAGAAGAGGGCATCAGATCCCATTACAGATGGTTGTGAGCCACCATGTGGTTGCTGGGAATTGAACTCAGGACCTCTGGAAGAGCAGTCAGTGATCTTAACCACTGAGCCATCTTTCCAGCACCCTTATGGTACCTCTTAAGGACACTTTTAAATTAAGTGACTATCTTGAGTCCCAATCATTTTAATATTTATTCATTTACTATTTTATGTTTTGTTTTTGTTTTTGTTTGTTTTGTTTTGTTTTGTTTTGTTTTGTTTTTTTCGAGATAGGGTTTCTCTGTGTAGCCCTGGCTGTCCTGGAACTCACTCTGTAGACCAGGTTAGCCTCGAACTCTCGAACTCAGAAATCCACCTGCCTCTGCCTCCCAAGTGCTGGGATTAAAGGCATGCGCCACCACTGCCTGGCTATTTTATGTGTTTAAGTGTTTAGCCTGCATGTATGTTCCTGTACCATGTGTGTAGTACCCTTAGAATCTGGAAAGGACACTGTATCTCTTGATACTGGAATTACATACAGTTGTAAGTCACCATGTGCATGCTGGAGAGCAAACACAGGTCCTTTAAAAGAGCAGTAAGAAAGTTTGTATTGTTCTGTCTTCCAAATATCCCCCAATTATAATTTAATGCTCTTTTTTAAAAATAAGTAAATAAATTAAAAGAAAGAAAGAGCCGGGCGGTGGTGGCGCACGCCTTTAATCCCAGCACTTGGGAGGCAGAGGCAGGCGGATTTCTGAGTTCAAGAGTTCGAGGCTAGCCTGGTCTACAGAGTGAGTTCCAGGACAGCCAGAGCTACACAGAGAAACCCTGTCTCGAAAAAACAAAAAAAAAAAAAAAAGAAAGAAAGAAAGGCTTGCCAAGTGTGACGGCATATGCTTTTAATCCCAGCACACAGAAGACAAAGGCAGGTAGATCTCTATGAATTTGAGGTCAGCCTGATCTTTACAAAGAGATTCTGTTTTAAAAGAAAAATAATTTAATAATTAAGCCTTTACTCTGGGCTTAATGACACACACCTTTAATCCCAGCACTGAGGGGGCAGAGGCTGGCAGATCTGTGTGAGTTCCAGGCCAGCCAAAACCATAGTAGTAAGATTCTGTCTCAAAAGAAATCGAACAGAATGAACATTTAAATTGTATGTCCTAGTGGCAGTGATGTTTTAAATTATATACTGATTAAAGTCAATTTTGCAAAACTGATTGCCTATTCTATTTTTTGAGACAGGTCTCATGTAGCCCAGGCTGGCCTCAAACTCAGCTGAGGCTGACTTAAACCCCTGATCTATCTCCTACCTCCACCTCCCAGGTGTTGGGATTACAAAGTGTCCAAATAATAACTCATGATAGGCCGGGCGGTTGTGGCGCACGCCTTTAATCCCAGCACTTGGGAGGCAGAGGCAGGCGGATTTCTGAGTTCAAGGCCAGCCTGGTCTACAGAGTGAGTTCCTGGACAGCCAGGGCTACACAGAGAAACCCTGTCTCGAAAAACAAAAACAAAAACAAAACAAAAACTCATGATAAGCTCATTCCTTGTCACAAAGCTCTGGAAGTAATGTCATAAAACTAAAATTAACCTTTTCCATAGACGATTTTTGGAGTGCTAAGGAAAAGACTGCCATGCAGAAGATCCAGTGCCTCTCCCTTCAGTTTGTCTCCATCAGCATCAACAAGGGCAAGTTCATCAGCCAAACCCTGAAACACATAAAAGTTATGAGTACCATATTCCAAACTTTGAGAAGAAGGGTTTGGGGCTGAGGGTGGAGCAGAGCGGGCAAAGGGCCTGCCCTGTGTGTGGGAGGCCTTCAGTCTGACCCCAAACACTAAGAGAATACATTTTGATACCTTGTTGGGTTTTGTTTTGTTTTTTGTTTTTCAAGATAGTATTTCTCTGTTTAGCCCTGGCTGTCCTGGAACTCACTCTGTAGACCAGGCTGGCCTCGAACTCAAGAGATCCACCTGTCTCTGCCTCCTAAATGCTGGGATTAAAGGAGTGCACCACCCAGGTGCATCTCAAATTCATGACTCCCCTACCTCAGCCTCCCGAGTGCTGAGATTATAGATTGACTACCAACGTATCTGGCTTTATTGTAATTTCACCTGAATTTTTGTCATAACCACAGATTGTAGGACTATTAAAGAATGCATTCTCAGCCAGATATGCTTTTAATCCCAATACTAGGAAGGCAAAGGCAGGTAGATCTCTGAGTTTAAGGTCGGCCTGGTGTACATAGTCGAGTTCCAGGTCAACCACAGCCAGCTATATAATGAGATTCTGTCTTGAAAAAAATGAATGGAAAAATGCATTCTCAGGGCTGGAGAGATGGCCCAGTGGTTAAGAGCACTCGCTGCTCTTCCAGAAGATTTAAGTTCAATTCCCAGCAATCACATGGCAGTTCACAACTGTCTGTAACTCCTGGGATTGGACATCCACCCTCACATGGATATACATGCAGACAAAATACCAATGCAAATAGACTAAAAAACAAATCATTAAAAAAAAAGAAATGTATTCTCCTGGATTCCAGTGACTACATTCTAATAAATAATTCAGAGTAAGGAATAAATCCCCACCATTACTTTTATCAGAGCCGGTACCATGTGGCTTTTCTTGAAACTGACACTGAGCTGTCCTTCTGTACCTGAGAGGATGGCCTCTAGAGCCTCCAAGACTCTTATATGACATGGTAGATCATTTGCACATACCTACGCACATCTTGTATACTTTCAAATAATTTTTAGATTACTTCTAAAACATAATACAACAGAAATGTTATTTAAATATACTGCATTGCTTTTACCTTTATAAATCTTTATATGCATAGGTGCTGTGTCTGCATTTAAGTCAACTCATCCTTCCATGGAGCCCACTGAGGCCAGAAGAGGGCAGCAAATCTCCTGGAACTGGAATGTGGGCGCTGCGAATTAGACCTGGGTTCTCTGAAAGTAGAGCTAGTGCTCTTAACTGCTGAGCCATCCATCCATCTCCCCGGTCCCTAATACACTGCATCATTTAGAGAATGATAATAAATATCTTTGTATGTTCAGGACACGGGTTTTAAATTTTCAACCCATAGTTGGCTATGGCTAAATAAGCAGGTGTGGAATCTGTCTGCATACAGGGAGGATTCTAACAGCAGTCTAACACTGACGAAACTATGCGTGGTGTATCAGGAACGGGAAGATAAGCTTCACACAAGGATAGAAAACTGGACTGCGACTACGAACTCACTTTTACATCAGTCTGTGTTTACCTGGTTCTGGTCAGTAAATCAGAAATCACTTTAAGCTTTCCAACAGAGAATTTATTAAGGAGGAACTGAGAGGGTGGAGAGATTCAAAGAGAATATTTGAGGTAACCCAGAAATTGCAGATATGTCTGAACCAACCACCCCTATAGGCTAGAACACAGGAGGGGAAAGGAAGGAAAAGATGAAGCCAAGACCAGGACTTCCTAAGAAGCTGGAGGCTAGAAGTGACCTCTTAAACGGGCAGATAAAACTGCAGGTGGAGAAGCAGTGGCTAGAACCGGTGGTAGTGGAGGGGGGAGGGGGGGCCGAGGCTCTCCCCTTGCCTTGCAGATTCCTTCTAGAGTTACCTATTGCCTGAACCTAACAAGAGGCAAACTACAAAAGATGGGTTTCAAGTGACAGCAAATCTTTAGGAGTTTACTGTGTACGTGTGTGTTTTTGTTCTGAGACAGGTCATGTTTCCTAAGGATGGTTTCAAGCTTGCTATGTAGCTGAGGGTGACCTTGAACTTCTGTTCCTCCTATCTCTACCTTCAGAGTGTTGGGATTGCAGGTGTGTGCCACCAAACCAGGTGTGTTATTCAATTTTACTGATCAAACCCAGAGCTTTTTGCTTGCTAGGCAAGTACTCTCCAGCCAGGTACATTGGCCATTTTGTTTGTATGTCACTGTGTTAAAATAGAGTCTTGCTATATAGTGTAAACTGGCCTCAGACTTGTAATCCTCCTGCCTCAGGCATTTATCATCATGCCTAAAAAGACTGCTCACTTTTTTAAATTAAAAAAAAATGCTATATTTTTAAGCACTTTTAAAAAAATTAGACAAATTCATACTCAGCCTGTCATGGGCAAGCACCCCAGATCATGTCTCCTGGGAGGCTAGGACGGCCACAGCCAGGAAGCAGCAATCAGTCAGGGAAGTTGTGCTGACTACTTTGTCCTATGTGGAACACAGGCGTGACCTGTGCTTCTCCCTCTGCTAAGTTCACACCTCTCTCTCTCTCTCTCTCTCTCTCTCTCTCTCTCTCTCTCTCTCTCTCTCTCTCTCTGTGTGTGTGTGTGTGTGTGTGTGTGTGTGTGTGTGTGTGTGTGTGTGTGTTTAAAAACAGCTCTGGATACACAGTTGTCACCATTCTTTTCCTTCTTGAGGATCTTAGACAGGGCTTGTTGTGTAGTTCTAGCTGGCTTCAAACTAGCAATCCTCCTGTCTCTGCTTCTCAAATGTTAGGTCTTTGTTTTGTTTTTCAAGACAAGGTTTCTCTGTTCTGGAACACCCTTTGTAGACCTGGCTGGCCTAGAACTCAGAGATATTTGTCTGCCTCTCCTTCCGGAGTGCTGGGACTAAAAGTTTGTACCACCACATGCATCAGTGCCCACAGATGTCAGAAGAGGCCCTTGAAGTTGGGTTGCAGATGTTCCTGAACTGCTGTGAGTGCTGGGAAGCAAATCCAGGTCTTCTGAAAGAGCAGCAAGTGCTGTCAATCAATGAACTATCTCTCCAGCCCCTGGAATAGGCCTTTTTTTTTTTTGGAAGGTGGGGGGGGGTTGATGGTGCTATCACTCAATTAGCTACAGACCCACGTCCTTATGTTTCGGCTGTGTAGTTATTTCCCCTTTCTACCTACCTCCAGTTATGCTGGGACTACAGACCTATACACTAGCATGTCCAGCTTTATGTGGGTACTAGGGTTTCAATCTCAGATCCTCACACTTGTGTAGCAAGAGCTGTACACACTAAGCTATCTCCCCGGCTTGACGGTCTGCTTTCTGCCTAGTCACAGCAAAAAGATGTAATCTCCTGCAGCCAGGTGGGATTGGGTTGGAGAGTATGACCTGCTTAAGATGCAGAATAGAATCTGAAGCTTTCTGTCTCCTGAGACTTTCAACCTCCTCCCTCCCTGTTCCCTTTCCCTTCTCCCCCTTCACCTCCACCTTTGAGGCACCTGGCATTTCCAACTCCTCAGCCTTTGAGTTCTGAAATTAAGCTAACTCTGCTTCCTCCCTCCCTCTGCAAGTTTCCAATCAGGATCTGAGTGAGAGAGAGTTTGCGCTGAGTTGGCCAGGGTTGGAATCCCAGAATTCAGGCAAGCTGCTCAGCTGGGATTACAGTGTGAGCCACCATGCCTGGCTGCCTGCCTACCTATCTCTATCTCTTTGTATCTATCTCTGTCTCTTATATATCTCTGTCTCCTCTGTCTCTATGTCTCTGTTTCTGTCTCTATCACTATGTCTGTATCTGTCTCTGTTTCTGTCTCTATCTCTGTGTCTGTCTGTCTCTCTCTGTGTCTGTCTCTGTCTCTTGTCTGTCTTTGTTTCTGTCTCTATCTCTGTCTCTTGTGTCTCTTATCTGTGTCTGTCTCTGTGTCTATCTCTTGTATGTGTCTGTGTCTGTCTCTTGTCTGTCTCTTGCTCTCATCTCTGTCTCTATGTCTCTCTTTGTTTCTGTCTCTATCACTGTGTCTGTCTCTGTCTCTTGTCTCTGTTTCTGTCCCTGTCTCTATGTCTGTCTCTGTCCCTGTGTCTGTCTGTCTCTTGTCTGTGTCTCTGTCTGTCTGTGTTTGTCTCCTGTCTGTGTCTGTCTCCTGTCTGTCTGTCTCTGTCTCTTGTCTGTCTCTGTCTCTTATCTCTGTTTCTTGTCTATCTCTGTCTGTCTCTGTCTGTCTCCTCTGCCTCTCTGTCTGTCTGTCTCTGTCTGTCTGTCTGTCTGCCTCTCTGTCTGTCTCTCTCCCTGCTCTCCTTTCTCTCTCTCTTAGAATTTCCTTTCTCCCACCTTCTACCCTTTCCTCCCCTGCCCTCCCCTCTTCTCCTTTCTCCTCTCCTCTCTGAACTCTGGGCAAGAATTTCACATAGCTCAGCCTCAGATCTGATCTGTACTTGAGGATGATCTTGAACTCCAGACCCTCTTGGCCTCCACCTACCAAGTACTAAGACGACAGACAGGCAGGCCCATGCCAGAGACCACATGTAGCCAACAATTAAATCTGTCAACACCACAGGTTTTACACATTTCCATTAATGGTTATTTCCTGCCAGAAGGCTTCATTGCTTACTTACTTTCAGTAAAATACTAATAGCACATGCCATTCCCACATTTCCAACTCCGACCACAGTGATCTTACACCGGGAAAGTTTTTCTTCCGGAACTAGGTTCTGAATTAGCTGCTCCTTGACGGTGGACATGTTGAGCCTGAAAAGAAGAAAATATCGGTGAACACCCACTCCTATAGTCAAGACACTAAACTACTTATTTTGGAAGGGAGCGGGGGTTAAGGGTTTCACATTGTATCTAAGGCTAGCCAGGAGGCCAATATGTAGTTTAGGCTGGCCTTGAACTCATGGCAATCTTCTTGTCTCAGCCACTCAAGAGTGCTGGGATTACAGGCCTATAACACTATACCTGTCTAGGAGCTACCTCTTGAGTTTGCAGAGCACAGGAGCCAGGGAACCAGGGATACAAAAGCGTTCCCTAGCTAGAGTGTGAGAGTCAAGTGAAGCTTTAATGAGGCAAAGGATGGCTTACAGTGACAGGCTCCTCCCTCTCTGTAGGCTCCTCCCTCCCCGTAGTCTCCTTCCCTCCCCACCCTACAGGCATTCGCAGGCTTTCCTTCACAGGTGGATGAAGGCACTGCCCACTTCCTCAGAGGATGCCGAAAACACACCCTACAGCTGACTCTGCAGCACAGGATAACCGTTAGGCCCAGGAGCCAACAGTTATAACAGACAAGAAACGTCACAAAGCCTACGTCAGCACGCAAGCCCCGCTCCCTGCCTGGTCAGGTACGTTGGTGCGTGCACCCGCACGGCCTACCTCAGGTTTTAGGAGATGGACTCTAGAAGGTTTCCAAGGTCTCTAGTGGAAGGTATGTAGGCGCTGGGACCACACAGAAGATGGCAGCTATCTTGGCAAGCGCCCCTTTAAAGGCCCCTACATTCACTGTGCTACTCTTCTGCTGTGAAGAAATGCAGAACGTTGAGTTTGAGGGGCACACCCCAGACCCTTTGCTCTCATCTGTTTGTAAGCATTGAGGTTGGGGGGTCGGGGGGTGTTAGGCATCTGTCTGTTTGTTTGCTTGCTTTTGTTTTGTTTTGCTTTGCTTTCGAGACAGGGTTTCTCTGTGTAGCCCTGGCTGTCCTGGAACTCACTCTGTAGACCAGGCTGGTTTCCAACTCAAGAGATCTGCCTGCCTCTGGGATTAAAGGAATGTGCCCCCACCGCCTGGCTGTTGGTAGGCGTTTACATCATTACTGGTCTAGAGAGATGGCTTCTTCAATAAAGAGCTCGCTATGCAAGCTTGAGGGTTTGAGTTGCATCCCCAGAACAAAGGTGCAAGTGGTTACTTAGTAATCCATGGATGGAAGTGGCAGAGACAGAGGCTCCCTGCGGCCCCCCAGACAGCCATCTTAGCGTTAATAAATAAGTGTCCTTGTCTCACCTTGGTGTGGGGGGGGAACAATACCTGATGTCATCCTCTGGCTTCCATGTGTACTAGCTTGCACATGTGCACGCACATACAAACACACGCACGCACACACATACACACACACACAGTGTGTTAGGGTTCTCTAAAGCAACCTGTGGGTTGCTACCCTTTTGTGTGTGTGTGTGGGGGGGGAATCCCTCATCTCAGATATTTACACTACAATTCGTAACAGTAGCAAACTTACAGTTATGAAGTAACTAATGCTATGCTCTGCCGTGGCCGGAGCAGTCCCCACTCTGAAAACCAAAACTTCTAGCTAGGCCTTCAGAACTTGGGTGTCAGGAAAGAGAAGCAAAGAATTTCCTGTTGAGTCACTAGGGGCAATGGAGAGCCGGACCACTCTTTTCCTGCCTCTTAATTCCTGGATCTGTGGGTCCTGGCTATGGGAGAAACTGTGCGGTGTATGGATGTTGGTTCAAACATACTCCCTCCTGGAGAACCCTGCCCAGCTCTCCAGGCTGCTGTCACTTAATGAGTGCTGTGACTGTGTCTTCAGCTCACTCGTACCAGGGTGTGTGCTTTAGGCTGACTATGGAACATGGTAGACAGTGAGTTCATGAGGATGGTGGGCCCACTGTCACACTTCTCTGGCTGGGAAGTGGGCTTCTTGGTCAGAAGCAATGACTGTAGACATGGCATTCTGCAAGTCCACCGATGGTTTTGGCAGAAGTGTCATGTGCAGGAAAGGCAAATCCGTAACTAAAGTAATCTCCAGTAAGGACAAAGTGTCCTTTCCATGAAGAAAGGGGTCTGCAACTCTTTGTAACTCCAGACAGTGGTGTCATACTAGGGGACTCAGTGTTGATCTCTGCTTTCAACAGATCTGGCATTTGGTAGTGGCATTAGCCTTGGTGAGTGGAAATCTATGTTATCCGTGCGCAAGCCCATCTCTGCCAACAATCTGACTTGGTGGGTCACATAACATCTGGCTCATGATAGGCAGCTTTTGGTAACTTAGTGGCCTATTGTCAAACTTCAGTTTCCAGTAATGCCTAATAACTCTTATTAAAGGAAAAACAGTAGTCTGCAGATGACGGGAGAATCTTGCTCCAAAATCCCAAAGGTCTCCACTGTGATCTGCCTATTGTAGCCTGCCAAAGGCTTCAACACCATCTCTATCTGCCACTACACCCCAATTACCACTGAGTCTGCTTGATCGTATGTTTCAAATGGTAGAGCAGTCTGCACAGCAGTCTGGACCTGTGAGTCTTCTCTTGTTCCTGGGCCCACACAAAGCTAGCAGCTTTCTGAGTCACTTGGTATGTGGGCCAGAGTAACACATGCATGTGGGGAACGAGCTGCTTCCAGAATCCAAATAGGCCCACTAAATGTTGTGCTTCTTTCTTGGTGGTAGGAGGGTCCAGGTGCAGTATCTCTGTATGCTCTGTACCCCTGAACTCCTAGAAATTTTACTGGGATAGAAGGCCCTTGAATTTGGGTTGGATTTATTTCCCCTATATTTTAATGGTTGCTACCTCTGGTCGTTTGATTCAATCACTATAATGACATCAATATAATGGACCAATGTGACATTTTGTGGAAGAGACAGGTGATCAAGATCTCTTTAGGGGATGGAGAGTTGGCTCAGAGGTAAGGAGGACTTTGTGCTTTTGCAGAGACTCTGTGTTGTGTGTGGCAGTCCAAACGAGAAAGTTGGATCCCCTGGAACTGAAATTACAGGGCTGTGTGTGTGTGTGTCTGTGTGTGTGTGTGTAGTTACAGATGTATGGATACAAACCTCCATACCAGCATATAGGTGGGAATCAAACCTGGGTCCTCTGGATGAGCACTCTCTCGGAGCTAGCCTGCAGCTCAGTGTGTCTAAAGGCTCTGGTCCACATGACAAAGTTACAGATCACAGTAAGCACAAGGGCAATTAAGAGTCCTTTTTTTTTTTTTTAATTCAAGCTAGCTACTGAGAGCAGGCTCCTCCCACACAGAACCCTCATCTCTTCCCATGAGTTGGGCAGAGTAAATTTTATAAAGCCAAACCACAATTATGTCACACCAGGTGCAGGCCAAGAGGTCTCTTTTGCTTTTTTCTTTCTTTTTTTTGTTGTTATTGGGGTTTTTTGTTTGTTTATTTTCTTTCTTCTCTTTTCTTTTTATTTATTTTTATTTATTTTAAATGTTAATCAATGGCTTTATAAGTTCAGTAATGCTCAATAACAAGATGCCCATACAATCAGAAGTGTAACCAACCCAACCTAGATAAACCAACTATCTTTGAGTGGCAGAGACAGTCTCCATGTCTCTCCCCCCTTCTCTCTCACTCTTTCCCCCTCTCTCTCTCTCCCTCCCTCCCTCTCTTTCTCTCTTTCTCTCTCTCATCTCCTAGCTCCTCCTCCTCTCCTTACTCCTCCTCCTCCTCTCCTTACTCCTCCTCCTCCTCTCCTTACTCCTCCTCTTCCTCTCCTTACTCCTCCCTCCATAGCTCCTCCTACATATCACCCTTCCTGTTAAGATAAAACTTTTCTCTAAAAATACAATTAGTGCATAACTATATGCTCTAATTTGTATCAGTAAGGTACAAGGAAGACCTAATACCCAGTCCATCATTTTGTTGACTAACCAGAACCTCTGTCATCTCTCTTAACTAAAAGACTTAGTTCTGAACCTGGCTTTTTTCTTGGCTTTAGAATGAATGTCAGCTGAAAACCATCCTCTCAAGTCTTTTCTCTCAAAGTAAATAGCCGGGATTGGCTATGAGACTGTAAGTCTTCAACCCCGTCAGAAATCCAGAATGACTGAATTAACTAAAATTATGGGAAGCACAAAGCATAGCTTCTAAAACTTAGCCAATTTATAGAGACCGCTGAACACCTGGACAGTCCCTATACTACAAAATGTTGGAGCATCCGATTGTCAGCCTTCTGGCCCAGGATCATCTGACAGACCTTGTGATGCAGAATTATTGAGGGCTGATTACTCTGTCTTGGCAGATATAATCAGTTGACTATTCCACAAGTGTGTCCTTTTCCTGGACAGTAATTTGTCTGTAGATCAAAAGAGGCAATTCTTGGTTTGTTTTTTCAATTTTTGTTTTTTGTTTTTTTTTTTTTTTTTTTTTGAGACAGGGTTTCTCTGTCAGCCCTGGCCGTCCTGGAACTCGCTCTGTAGACCAGGCTAGCCTCGAACTCAGAAATCCGCCTGCCTCTGCCTCCCAAGTGCTGGGATTAAAGGCGTGTGCCACCACCGCCCGGCCGAAAAGAGTCAAGTCTTGCCTAGTGTCTGTCTCACCACAACTGGAGTAACTCCAAAGACGCTCAATTTCTTCTTAGAATCCAAGACTGGAAGCTTTCAGGAGCAGATAGGCCTCTAATCAAAATGAACCTTAATGGAGAAATGTTTGTAACGTCAATTCTGTGGACTAATGACGTTTTGAAAACCAACTATCCATGTAAGGCAATCTGGACTGTTGTCTTTTAACTCCTCTCAGCTATTTCTAAATAAAATATAGAAAACACCCTAACAATAAACTCAGAGCCATGAATTTGCTATAGGCCCTTAACTCACAGGCTAACCATCTCAAATCAGTTAAAAAAAAAGTTAAAGAAGGACTGGGTCTAAGCCTTGTATTCCTAAATGTGCTATATAGGCACAATGCCTATGAGAGTAACAGTATTAATCTCACTTTTATATCAATAAGAAACTCGTACCAATGAAAACCTTAAATTTGAAATCAAAGTAAATTTTGTACCATTTAAGAAATTATAGCTTCAGCTTAATAACAATTATACAGATTTCTACCAATACATTATGGCTATGCAGTAAATCCTAGCTATTCCTCCCTGTTCCAACAAAACCACTACTTTTCCCTAAAAAGACAGCCCAATATTAACCACCTCAGTCCTCAAGCCCAGGGAATAGGGGCGCTGACTCTTCATTAACTTCTTCAAGCTGATTACAGGCCTTGAGATATTAGAAGAGGGGAGGGGGGAAGAATAAATTGATAAGCCTCTGGCATCTGTGTCTTCACTGCATTCAGCTGAGATTCCAGGACATCAGAGGTTCAAGCAGGTCTGCTCAGCTTGCTTGATGAGTAGATACACCAAGGCTGTGTATTCTGCAATATACAATTCTCAAAACAAATTTTAGTATCAAGATATTTTTTGTTTGAATTCTGGAATCTAGTCTTCTGGTGACCTGTCTCTATCATATCTAATCCATATTATTCTGGGAGTTTCTATGAGGGTGTGCTCT